AGAAAGGGGAAGTTATTGCAAGCTGCACAGGAAGTTTTAGTGCACAGGCATACTAATAAATCAGACACAGAAAAGAGGAACTGAGTAGAAGGAGTTCGTTTGTAATGAAACTGTGTGTGACGTGTGAAGTACCGAAATAACACCATAAGACACATGTGGAGCTTCAAATGTTAGAGATCCTGCAACTGGAGTTTGGGCTGTGCAGGGGTCTCTCTCTTCCGGAAGATGATTGAATAAAAAGAAATATAAAATGTTTTGACCACTATGAGTTGGGTTTTCTCTGTTCTATCATGGGGTCAAAAGAATCGGGGCTAATTACCTAATGATGATCTTGGGGATTGTGGCTGATCCACCACTTTTTCCATCATCATCTCACTCCGTGAGAAAAGATCTTGCATGGAGCTCCAGGATGAGGTTAACTGATGGTCATTTTATATTTCTTCCAATTGCACAAGCAATTCTCACCTTCTTGCTGATGATCTCGAGCCCATTCTGGCCTTGTTAGGGTCTACAACTTTATCTCCAACATCCTTTGACATCTTTAGTCCTAAAAATGGATTCTGTGGACAGGTGTGCTTTAGACACAGAGAGGTGAGACTAAGAGTTCGTGTAATTGATTGATTTTAACGTGCGCATCATATGGACACAACCAATTTGGGGTAGCAAGAATTCTGGCTTGGTTGTAGGGGATCAAATACTTACTACCGTATTTCCCGGACTACAAAGCGCACCTAAATATTAGCCGCACAAGCTAAAATCAGGGGAAAATCCTGTTTTGTACATACATTAGCCGCACCTGACCAAAAGCCGCAGGTGTTTCAATGTTGACTTATGTAAGAGAATATGCACAAAGGGAATTGTCAGGAAAGAGATGGCTGTTTGGAGACATCACTTTTATTAATATTTTGAAAAACAAGTTATGGGAATATATTTGCACATGTAGTACATAACATAACAGTAGCCTACAGCACACCAGAAAAATAGATTCGGACTACCTTTTAGGCTCAGGTGCAGTGACACAGCTTTAACAAGAAGAAAAGTCAGTCATTCACCATCTTTCTCTTCTTCCTGCGCACTAAAACCACCAAAGTCCTCTTCTCCAGTGTCGGATACAAACAGGCTCAGGATGGCTTCGTCATCCACTCTTCTTCTCTCCTTCGTTGTCACTTTCAAAACCAAAGAAATCCTCATTGTCAGTGTCAGAGTCGAACACCCTCAGAAGGGCCGTGGCGGTGTCCTCCTCTCCATCATGCAGCAGTCCAGCCCTTCAAAATCCGTTGGTGATCGTGGATGTTTTCACACTTTTCCACGCTGTCAGAATCCACCGGTGGAGTTGGGCATAACTTGCTTTTTTGGGCATAACTTGCAAGTTTATCGCCGCTCATCATCCACGACTCCCGCTGAACGCGTACCGCTACTTTGAAGTTTGTTTTTCGCGCTACTTCGTACGGCACTACGTTGCCTGGCGGACGGACATGTGACTAACATACCACTCTTGAACCCCGATCCTTCCGCCAGGCAACGTAGTGCCGTACAACAGCGGAACACACAAAACAAATCGTCTTACGATATGACAAAAATCACGGACAATCCATAGAAAAGCCGCACCTGACTAAAAGCCGCAGGGTTCAAAGCTTGTGCAAAAAGTAGCGGCTTATAGCCCGACAATTACGATACATTGCTTTGCATCATTGGGAGAAATAGCTTTTATGTAATGTGTCTTTCTGGACTTTTGGTGGATGTTTTGTCTCTCACTGTTAAAATGAAACAAAAACAAGTGAAGAGACTTTTCATTTCTTCGTGAGCAAAGTAAAATAGTCTGCAGGGGGATCAAATAATTTTCCCCACTGTAGATGTTTCATTGCCGGCTTTTGTTCAATGGAACATGCTGCACTATGGCCACCATGTTGCTCAAGAGGAATCAGGCTTCATAATGGTTTGTAACATGTAACACAACATCGTTATGTCATGAGACCTATTATTTGGCAAAAATAAACGAGGCATCTTACCAAAAGAAATTTACAACATGTTCTGAGCATTCAGGTTTATTGAAGGCACGTCAGTTAAAAAGAACACATTAGTTGCAGAGGACATATACATTCATTGTTAATCAGCTTTGTCCTTCAATTAAATTCATGTTAAAACTCACATATTAGGGCTGGGTATTTACTTTTTTTTCTTGCACAGGAAAATAAAAGGAATTTACTCTACGTGGCAACAATTTTCAAAGTTCCATTAATGAAGAAAACATTCAATCACGTTTAAAATCTGCCTTCCTTGAAGCACCCTTGCATTCTCATTCGATATAAAACCATTAGAATATAACCACGTATATATTAAATTTAATAAATAGGAGATACAGATCAACCAGATTTTTCATTTTCAAAACTGCTTACCACTACCGCTAATCTACAATAAATCACATTTCACATCAATATTAAATATATTTAAATTATCCTAAAGGATAGAGTTCAAATTCTCCAGTGTATAGCTACTGATTGGATTGTATTCATCATCAGGTTCATGAAGTATATAAAGCAGTCACATACCACATCAGCACGTGAGTTAGTGTTTGATAAACTGGCAGGATTTCACACCCTAGTGTCACACTGACTGACTCAGCAGTCTGGTTTTCTTCCCTTTGTCATCTGCATACGACAGCTTTGCAGAAATTTCAATGACTTTGAATGTGTTGTCTCTTTTTTGTTTCGGTCCCTTCCAACTCCTTCATGCAGGCAACCAGGAAGTCATGGCACTTAAGAGTATACTCTTCAGGAAAATACCGGAAATGGCCAACATGGGGGCTGGAGACAAAATCAAAACTGTCCACAGGGACACCTTTCTGCTTCAAAGTCTCCAAAAAGCCCTCAATATCTTTGTGCCTAATCACCTGGTCATCCCTGGAGTACAGGAAGAAATGAGGCCAGGCGGGCGGCCTGTCCTGCACGGCATCGTAGTGGTTCTTGTGAATGTACTTGGTCAACGGGTACAGCACGATTCTCAGAAGGAAAACAGTCACAGCAAAGAGAACTAGGAGGATGTACCTTAAAACAGGACTTATTTTTGGACCCAAGGTGGCCGTCAGTGCACGCAGGGCCCCACGGACGTTCCCGCTACCTGGAGCACTGTCCACGATAGCCCCAACAACAGACAGCGAACTGAACTGTTTGTCACTGTGTAGCAGTTCTACAATGTAGCGGTAAAGCATGAAGCCACCATTGCTGAACGTGTGAAAGAAAATAGGACTGTTCTCCACCTCGTAGTCATAGAGGATCTCCAGCAGTTTGAGAGCCGTGTTTCTCAGCTCCTTGTATCCAAACGACTCGGAGATGAAGACAGTCTTCAAAGGAGCCGTGTAGCGGATGGTGACGCAGCCCTGCAAGCATGGAAAACAAAGACAATGAGCATGAATGAGAGAAGTGGATGTATAAAGAACTGGCCAGTCCTGTGCAACATTTATAATGGCACAATCCTCATGAAGGGATGAGAGCAGGTGATTTGCTCGTGTCATATAGTTTGAACCTGTTCATTATAGATGGAGCTGTATTTCGAGAGGTGCTTGTCTTTGCATCCAGCCCAGCCCAACAGTATCACAACTGGCTCCTTTGTCCCCTGCCAGTGTCTCTCTGAAAACAAGGCACACGATTAAAACACACACAAAACAAAGAAATAAAGAAAATAAATGAGGCAAACAGTTACAGAAAGCTAGGCTAAATTAGCTCCAACTGTCCAAACAGTTGGAGCTAATTTGGGGGGGAAAAAACACATTTTTAACGCGGCTTTGTAATTCACAGCTAGCGTGTAGGCTAAGCTAACAGAGGCATGAGCATACAGTACAATGAAATGTTGCTCACCCGACGTCCCTGCATCTGGAAACACGATGTTGTAGTCTATTTCATCGGCTGCCATTTCTGATTGCTAGAGTATCAGCTGCGGTTCTCTGACGTTAACGTTATCTCGCTCATTTGGCCGTTACAGAAAAATAACTGTAACTGTGCCACAGAGCGCTGAGGTGAAGCCTGTGTGAACCAAAGGAGACACGCACACTAAAGGTCCGCTGACTGTCACCAGCTTCTCCACTACACACACTCCTTCCTCCCGACCGGAGTGTTTCTTCTTCGTTGCTTTTTTTCAGCAGCGTCAAGATGACCTTACTGCCCGTTACCGCCCTCTTCTGCATGCCAGGCGCAATTGCGTCTACAATTTTGCTTCTGCTCGTTCAGCTCGTCTTTCATGTCATTTCTCAGTGTGTGTCCCATAAACGAAAAACTACTTGAAAAAGAAAGAAAAAAGTAACAATTGTGCATAAAATACTGTTTTTTTTTCAGATAACTTGTCATTGTAATAGGTTTTCAAATCCCCTTATAATTTCTGAAGAAAAAAAATATAAGAAGTAACACAATCATTTGAAATATTAATTTTTAATTAAGCTAAGTTCAGTTCCTAACTACTGATTGTTCAATATTTCATTATCATTCATTCATTTATCAAACTTAACTCTCTATGTGTGTTTAACTGAATGGCGAAGTCCATATATGTTATCATTAAGTAGAACCTAAATGCATAATTTATCAGTTCACTTATCACATTTCAAATTGTTCATAGATAATCACCCACAGGATGTTATAACTTCAATTATTTAAAGTAGTAAAAATCTGATTAGATGATTTGGGGCCTGTCTTATTGTAGCTCAGCTAATAGCACTTAAGAAACCCAACAGATTTTCTTCTTCTGACAACTCCTTTAGGATTGCTACAGTACGTTTGCTTCCGTATCACCCTATCCTTCTCATACCAACCTTCTGCATGTCCTCCTTCCCTGTATGCATAGATCCTCTCTGTGAGCTTCCAATGTTCCTCCTGCCTGGCAGCTCCATATTCAAAATCCTTTGTTCACTGTATCCACTATTCCTCCCCTGTACCTCCAAACTTCCCTTTTAATTATAAATCACACACCCATGGATTGTTTTTATCTTAATTACTGACGATTGCCAACTCACATTTTAAGAGCAGAAAAACACATTTAATCTTTTAATCAACTGTAAGCATAATATGGGATATTTTTTCAAACGCAAAGCTGCATTGATTTTAAGAAACTGGGTGCTCATTCACCATTGTTGTTATAATTCCTCGATACTCAAGGGATCTTAAATGTAATATTTGAAAAATGGATTAATGATTGCATTAGAAGGTGGTGATCTATGAGAGTTTGGTCAGTGGTATCAATTCCTCCATCCTCCAGGAACATTTCCCCATTAGGATAAAATGATGATTACACCAGAACTGTCCTCTCATTCACAGTCAGGAGTCAACCTGCCGTTCACTCACAGCTTAGCGCTGCTGTGTTTAAGGCTAAATGCTAACTGCATATGCCTAAATGCTGACAATGACTTAGCATGCCAACACTGAAATAACACAAATTAAGCTGAGGCTGAAGGAAAAACTAATATATTGACACTGGTTTCATTTGATCTGGACAAAGGTTTTGACCAAGTATGGAGACCACGTGATTTGGGTGAACCATGGCATTTACAGAAGGTCAATTACAAGCAAATATATTTCAAACAATAAACATCCCCAATGGTCACTGGATTCAAGTCCAAGTCTGTGGGATTTATTCCTTACAAACCAAGAGAGACAAAATTTAACACCTTCTGCCCCACACCATCTCCATCTTCTGCATGTGGGCCTTGGACGATTTGGAGAAGGTACTCTTTACCACATTGAGAGGCGCTACCTTGCCGCTCAGATAGACCTTGTTAAGACAGGTAGGAAGCCACGACTGCTCCTCCTCCTCCTGCTCCTTGTCTGCTTCTCCAGCTTCTTCCTTCCTGATGACGGTACAGGAGTAGGCGAAGATGTATCCTGTCATAAAGGCGTCAAATCCTGCCCGATGTGTCCCTGCATCAGCATTCTTCTTCTGGGTTTCAATCCCAGCTGAGCAGTCATTCGTCTTTTCTCTCCCTGCTCCTGTCCCACTCACTTCTCCACTTTTTCCATCATTTGTGTTGTTTTTTGTGTTCCGGCTGTCATCAATTGAGGCTGTTGTTATGTTCTCATCACACACACTGTTCCCCTTGCTGTCAGTCGCCAAGCTCTTTCCTTCACTCTGTGGGGTGTTTCCATCACTGTCCATTGCTGGCAAACCATCTGGGCACATCTCAGCAACTGTCCCTCGCTGGTCTCCTGGCGGATCTTCTGGATCCACTTCCATGTTGGGGATTTTATTTTCCGGAGCACCATCAAAGATGGAGGAGCCCTCTCCTTCACTTCTCTTCTTCTCTCTCTGTCTCTTCCTTTTCTTCCACTTGTCATCCTTATTTTTCTCGTCCTGGAGAATGATGCGGTCTGTGTCATGGGATAACGGACACTTTGTGCCACTCGGACACCAACCAAATGCCTGGCAGACAAACAAACAAACACAAAGTTAGGTAAATTAGTAAAAACACACACAATTTCATGATATCTATTTGGCTCCTGCATTATAACAGACATACAAAAAAACCCCAAAAAAACCCCACACACACAGGAGAGAAAAGAGCACTTTAGTTTTCCACAACTGTACAACTGAAGATCCAAGGTTGAAACTTACAGAGAAGCGCTGACAGATGTCAGTCTGTTCCTCAACAGAAGCGACAGCTGGAGACTCCCTGTAGTCCACATAGGTGGACATGTGACCAGCATACTGACAGAACTCTATGTGAACATGAGGTCCATTTGTTCCGGAGTCCACACTGCGACCATTATCCAGCTTACTGGGAAGAAGAGAACATGATATGAAAGAAGAGGGACAGGTAGCTGATTTTGTTTGGCTTTAAAGACACACTGTCTTACAGACTACCTCAACTTTTGTGTGGACACAGTCGCCCCTGCTAAGACGGTACGGTGTTATCCTAATAACAAACCGTGGGTAACACAGGAAGTCAAAGCTGTCCTCAACATGAAGAAGAAGGCTTTCAGGAGCAAAGTGAAGGAGGAGATGAAAGCAGCACAGCGGGAGGTGAAACGCTGCCTGAGGGAAGCAAAGGACACCTACAGGAGGAAGGTGGAGCAGAAGTTGGAGAGGAACAATATGAGGGAGGTCTGGAATGGTGTGAAAACCATCACAGGCCACAACACCAAGAAAAGCACAGTGGGGGGGACTGTGGAGAAGGCAAACGAACTCAACAACTTCTTCAACAGGTTTGACCAGCCCACAACCCCCCCACCCTCACCCTCACCTTCACTACAGAGTCCAATCCCCACTCTCCTACCTCCCTCGCTTCCCCCCCTTCCTGACACCATGACACCCCCCTCCTCCAATCCCTCTCTCAGCAGCAAGACATCTCCCCCCCTCCCCTCCTCCCAAACATCTCCCAGTGTCACAGTGGATCAGGTCAGGAGACAACTGAGGAAGCTTCGCCCCAGAAAGGCAGCAGGCCCAGACAAGGTGTGTCCTAGGATGCTAAAGGCGTGTGCTGCTGAACTTGGGGAGCCGCTACAACGAGTCTTCAACCTCAGTCTGCGACTGGGGAGAGTGCCCGCCCTATGGAAGACATCCTGCATCGTCCCGGTCCCCAAAAAGAACCGGCCCAATGAGCTGAATGACTTCCGACCGGTGGCACTGACGTCACATCTTATGAAGACTCTAGAGCGGCTCTTCCTCAACCTCCTCCGACCACAGGTACAACATGCCCAGGACCCACTACAGTTTGCATACAAGGCGGGTGTCGGAGTGGAGGATGCCATCCTGTACCTCCTACACAGAGCCCACTCACACCTGGATGGGGGAAAAGGCACGGTCAGGATCCTGTTTCTTGACTTTTCCAGTGCCTTTAATACCATCCGGCCCTGTATGCTTCAGGAAAAACTGAACAGGATGGAGGTGGACCCCTGCCTGGTGCTTGGATCTCCGACTACCTCACCGACAGACCACAGTACGTCAGGCTGAAGGACATCACGTCTGACACAGTGGTCAGCAGCACAGGAGCACCACAGGGAACTGTGCTGTCCCCTCTTCTCTTCACCCTGTACACCTCTGACTTCTGCTACAACTCTGAATTATGCCATATTCAGAAGTTTGCAGATGACACGCCATCATGGGGTGTATCTGGGATGATCAGGAAGAGGAGTACAGAAGTCTGGTGAGGAACTTTGTCGCATGGAGTCACACAAACCACCTGCAACTCAACACCTCAAAGACTAAGGAACTGGTTGTGGACTTCGGGAGGTCTAGAGCAGGTCCACTGCCGGTTCAGATAGAGGGGGAGGAGGTGGAGGTGGTCAACAAGTACAAGTACCTCGGGCTGTGGGTGGACAATAAACTGGACTGGTCATGCAACACAGAGCACCTGTATAAAAAAGCCCAAAGCCGACTGTACTTCCTCAGGAGGCTGAGGTCTTTTAACATCTGCAGGAAGCTCCTGAGGATGTTTTACCAGTCGGTGGTTGCTGGAGTACTTTTCTATGCTGTGGTGTGCTGGGGGAGCAGCACAGCAAAGAAGGACTCATCCAGGCTGGAGAAACTGATCAGGAGGGCTAGCTCTGTGGTCGGCATGAAGCTGGACACTCTGGTGACAGTGGCAGAGAAAAGGACATTAAAGAAACTGTGGACATTATGGACAATGCTGGGCATCCTCTGCACACGGCCATTAACAACCAGAAGAGTCTGTTCAGTGACAGGTTGCTTCTCCCCAAGACAAGAACTAACAGACTTAAAAACTCCTTTGTCCCACACGCCATCAGACTGTTTAACTCCTCTCTGGAGGGGAGAGGGAGGGGAAACAGGAGGACAAAGGAGGGGGGAACAACTAAGCTGTAGTGCCTCTTCACCTCACTGTGCAATACCTTTTGTGCAATACTTTTGTAAATAGTCAACAGTGCAATAGACCTCAATACTTGAAATGTGCAATTCACTTGTATTTTTATTTTTTATTCCTATTTATTCTATTTATCCCCTTCGTATATTTTATTTATATTGTCTCTGTATTTATATATGTGTGTGTGTGTGTGTGTATATATATATATAATATTCTGTAACTCTGTAACTTCTGTCGGTGCTGTGCTTTTTTGGAAATCGAATTTCCCAGAGGAACCCACCCGAGGGATTAATAAAGTTCTATCTAATCTAATCTAATCTAATCTAATCTAAAGGACAAACAGGGTTAATGTTTCAAAGACAACGTACGCTGACTTAATTATGGACACCAGACTTTTCTGCTCTACTCCAAATCTTAGCACCTTCATCATTGACTTAGCCAACAGGTTACAAAAAAAATGTGTTATCAATTATTTTAAGAGGTGTTAAAGGGCTTTGTTCTTTGGTTTTACATACTGGTAACTGCTGCATTACATCACAGAGGACACACGTGGAACTGTCCTGTTTACCTTTTAGAGAACTTAATTAGCGTCAAGTTGTGCAAATTATATCAGTGGCAAATTAATGTCCACTATAAAATTCAATCAAAACACAAAAAATAAATAAATAAAAAAACTTTACTCACCATTTCTTGTAGGCGTACTCAAGATAGGAGGCAGAGAGTCGAAGCTCAAATTCTGTGACATATTTGGTGTCGTATATCCCAGCGGGAAACATCTCTGACAGGTCAGCAGTGAAGGTGGCCAGGCGCTCAGGCAGGTGAGCATAGAAACTCTAACAGAAAAAAACACAAACATTCGTCAATCTTCTCAAACATCTCTTTGACCAGGAAGTCATTAGAAATGTTGAATCAGTTTTGTAAAACATATCCAGGCCCAAGACAGGCAGCATTAACCTTGGAGTTTTTCCTTTTATTGTAAATGTACATTACACAGACGTGCTCTGGCTGTGAACCCAGGACCATCTTGATGTGAAACAACAGTGCTAAACATCAGTCTTATAGAGTAAAAATAAGAGTTCTATTATTATAAATACTTTATAAATGTTAAAGGTATTTAGAAAATGTCATAAACAGATTTCACATCTTAGGAAAGTGAAAACAAGACAACAACTTGCACCTGGTACAGAAAAGCCATGTCAATGAGACCATTGTGTAGCACCAGGGGTTTCCGAGCACGCAGCAGCTCAGTGAACAGTGCTCGGATGTGAACGCCGCGGTCATCTGCACCTCCCTTACGAAGAACAAAGAACAGAGAGGAAAATGAACTGACATCAGAGGCAAACCTACTGCTACTCCCTGGCGTGATAAGTTAGACACCTTTTATTTTATTTTATTTTTTTTTAAGAAAAAGGTCAGCAGATGTAATATTATTTGAAAAAGTAAGTACACCTTTTGACTGAGCAAGCTCTACATCCTTGTAGAGCTTTTGCATAAGTGCGTGTTAGTCACTGTACATGTGATGAGCTGGACAGAACATAATCGTGGTAAATAACAGAGAAAAGCAGCAGAGTGAACATAGCGGGTACAGAACACTCAGAATGGACAACACAACTCAAAGCAGCAGGAAACTTTACCTTATTGTTGCCCTTGCAGTATGGGATTCCGTGGCCGTACTGCTTGTTGAAGTCAAATCCGTGCTGCACCAGGAAATGCACTGACTGGGGCTCTATGATGTACTCCTCTGAACATAGAAGGGTGAGGTTATACACCTGCACCAGGTACGAGTCTGCAGGCTGGGGGAAGAGAAGGAAGGATGAATCACCTGTGGCATTTGTGAAATCTGCAGTGGTAGTTTCTGTAATTTGATACAGATCTAACAGCGTTATTTAAATGTGTATAACAGTCTAACTGGCACTGCTGTACAAACATGTTACACTTATGAGTACGGTGTAATAACTGGTTTAATGTGTAGTACATGACAACATTTAAGCCACTCTAAAAGGATCATTTTGCACCTTTTGATCAAGTTTCTTGTAGCAGGCGATTCCCAACGAGAGGATGGAGCGGGACCGAGCTGCATGACATATAGCTTTGTATCTGTCCTCAATGGATCTGAAATATTACAAGAGCCAGAGAAAAATACAAGCATCTACTTCCCAAGGCTTCTTGCACAACCTACTAATACTATTTCATCTCAGAAAGACCTTTACTCACTCAGCCAGCAAGGACTTCCTGTTCCCAAGACCGCTCAGCTCCTAAAAAAACAGGAATGTGAATTTTCTGCAAACTCCCACATTACCATCTGTGCATCTAAAGTGGCGAGAAACCTGGAAGAAACCAAATTCTTTCAACACGTAAGAACTTGTAATTACCGTGTCCAGTGCAACGAAGGACGCCGTTTTAATAGCCACGACCATAGCAGGCCAAAGCTCTTTAAAGTTTTCATTCTGGACATCAATGACAGGAACTACCAGCGAAGATGCCATGCTTGTCTTAAACTGCAAAGTTGCTGACGACTACCTGAAATATGAGCTAGTTTATCTCAGGAAGAGTTTTAATTAACAGCTGCTGGATTTCCGAGACATTACTCGTTGCTTACTTGTTACAGTGTCTTTAAAATCGCAGTGTTTACTTTAACTACTGTTGTTTTTGGGAGTATTTAATTTTATCAACCGCTAACAACTTCCAAAAACATTTCAACGTGCTTCTTTGGGTCCTGTGACAAAATATCTCACAGCAGTTCGACTGTTTCCTGACTCCAAATAAAGAGCACTTGCCACTAAATACTTGCAAAAAAATTTTTTTTAAATTAGTTAGCGTAAAACGTTATCAAGCGTGTGTGCTTTATGTTTTCATTTGACCGCTTCTGTTTCGCTTTTTGCGCGGTACGTGGTATTTTCAATCAGGCATTCCTGACAGACGCATACAAACAGTGCGTCACTATACTTGACCACCGTGGGGAAGTACGCCATTTTGGCTCAAACAAAGTCAGCTACATTTTATCCCCGTTAAGATGATATAAGTTGTTTTCGTGTTTTTTTTTCTGTTAAAAATCTACAGGGCATGACTTTGCTTTCCACAAGTTAACGTTTGATGCAAGTGTAACATTTTCTCGTTTTTAGAGCGTGCACGCAGTTAGTAATGATTAAAAGTCACAGCTGAGCTGTACTGTAAGCCAAGCTAACTTAACATTTAGCTTTGCTGTTGCTGTTTGTTGTGACTGTGTGTGCAATGGGTGGCTGCTCCGCTCCAAACTGCTCCAATTCAACCAGCATAGGCAAGCAGCTGTTTCGGTTCCCCAAAGACCCTGTGCGGAAGAAGAAATGGGTGGTGAACTGTCGACGGGACTTTGAACCAACTCCTCACTCCAGACTCTGTCAAGTAAGTTTACAACATAGTAATAGAAAAAAAGTAGAACCAAATCTAAACAGACTAGAATCATGGATTAATTGAATAAATAGAACTAGGATTTATATATTTATTCACCGGATAATTATCTTCTGAGTTCAGCTAATTGTCAATCTTTAACCTTTTGTCATAATATCTATAATTCATGTCTTTTGGTTTTTCATTATTTTGATTCAGTGTACGTCTTCTTTGCACTTGCTTCATTTCTTTAAGGACCATTTTGAGCAGAGCCAGTTTGAGGAAATAGCCAGGTCTCCAGCTGGGGGGAAGAAGCTGAAACCTAATGCTATCCCCACTCTGTTCAATGTTGGAGAACCTCCCTACCCCGCATTCACGGTTCCCTACATCCTGCACCCTTTGAAACCTGAGCCAGGTACTGGAAATCTAAGGTGTAAAGTTGCTCTGGATCCTTTTTACTCTGATTAGAATTGAATTCAATGGATGGATTTTTGGTGAACTACAAAATGCTTGCTGTGTATGAAAGGTCACGACACTTACTGTATAGTTGTCTGTTATCTCTTACTTTTCACATCATGAACTGCTGTAGAAAGCATTTCTATTGGAAAATACAGTAAAAACAGCCCAGCAACACATTGCACATAAGCAGTGTTGTCTGGTTGCTCGTAAATGTAGATGAGCATTTTGCAGAAAAAATAGAAATGTTTGTCTCAACAGAAAAACCCAGAAGTTCTATGTACAGTTATTGCTCCATGTCTGCAGAAATATTTAAGAAGATATCTTCTTGTTTGGATGTTTTTCTACTCTAGTTCTCAGAAATTTAATTGCACTTTTTTCCCTTGTGTTTTGGTGTAGTGGAGAGGGAGCTGAATTTCGGGGATCATGGCTATGCCAGACGCACCCCTTTGCCTGGCTTAGAGGAGGAAGATGCGGACAGAACATCTGAAGATCAGCAGCCCTGCACACATTGCCAGCTGCTTAGGAAACAGCTGGAGCAGGAGATGCAACACACTGCAAGGCTACAGAAAGAGGTAGGACAGCTGATGACTTCCCCTGCAAATCAAAGCCTGGTCTGTTGGGCTTCTTTTTTTTTTTTTGGAGAGCATTGTAAGGTTTTATTGCGTTATGCAAATTATTATGAAAGTTGTTACAAAATAATGAGTGTTATTTGCAATAAAATGGCCCAAACTAACCATACACTCCTGTTTCTGTCAGGCTGAAGAGATGAAGAAGCGTCTTTATCGACTTGACCGGCTTGAAAAGGGTCTTCAGAATTTTCTGTATGAGGACCAGATCCGAGCCCTGTCACTCACCAAACGCTCCCGACGTGCTGTCTGGTCTCCGGAGACGATCCTGAAAGCCCGGAATATCCGCTGTGCAGTTGGCACCAAGGGGTACGAGTACCTGAGAGAGATTGGTTACCCGTTACCCTCCTATAGGACTCTGTGTAACCGTTTGGAGACTAAGATCATGGTGACGACTGATATGAGCTGCGAGGAGCTGGCAGAGCTAGGCCTGGGGCTCATGGCCACCTGCGACAGTCCCCCTGAAGTTGGAGATAATGATGAGGAAGAACTGATAGGTGTTTTGTCTTCTTAGCAGTTTGTGTGAATTGTTAATGACTAAAGCTGAATTATTGTGCTTTGTATCTCCTCCTTGAATGACTTGACGTGAATTTGCTTTTGTTATGTCAACTGGTTGCACTTGCAAATGCTTATATGCGTGTGATCAGCTGATAAGAGATGCTCAGGCTAGCCTACAGTTTTACTTGTAGTATTTTCTCCCCACCCTGCTGTTATCCCATCTAGAATCAGATACTGATGATTTTTTTTCAGGTCCCTGATGCCAAAGAGGTATTGATAAAAATATAAGCTTTGGTGTTGGTGCGTGGCATTAAGAGAATCTATTTGAAACAGCTTAAATCTCAGCTTCCTTTAGCTTGACTAAAATGCAGAATAGGTGCTCGGCAAAATCCAACTACCATCATGAGACCAGAGGTGGTTGGGGAAACAGTGAAGCTTATTACAAGTGAAACAAGACTTTCCACCAGAAGACTGCATTTCCTGCTTTGGAGCTAGATGTTTACTAATGAGTTCAACATAGGGGAAGATTGGGTTAAAATCAAGTGAGCCCTTAACAATGATAAGCATACACATTGAGACGTGGGGCTATGAGTATAGTGTGCATTAAAATCTGATATGTCATGAGTTGTTAAACAATTCTCGATATAAAAGCAACTGAGAGCAACGAGCACCAAAAGCAAAGGACACTGATATGGCAGAACAGCAGGAAACAGGGATGGACTCGCCACCTCTGAAAATGCTGACCCACTGTGAGCTTGAACATGTGCAGAGCATGTGTACCATGTAGATTGTTACTGATTGTAGTTGAGAATTGTTTAGAGGAGTCATTTGCACAAACCCTGACAAGTTTGATGCTTGTGTTTTTAAAGTCAAGTGTCTCACATCTGAGCTTGGCGGATATTTCCTGGCTCTGTTTACATGTATAATAAAATTAGCATTTGGAATATTTAACTTTATTTAAGTTTCATATAGACACATCTCATTACGGAGTGTTCCCTCGACATTGTGATTTTTTTTTTTTCTTATTTATTTTCAATCTTTTTGTTTTGGTTTGTTTTTTGTTTTTTTGGGTGGGATGTAAAGCACATGATTTATGTCTTTAACCATAACATGGGTTTAGTATCAAACTATATTGTTCAATCATACCTCTCCAGTTTAAGCATTAATAAAACTGAATTTCTGTACCTTATTTTGGTCACATGTACACAACTGAGACCCTCGCTGTTTTTCAAGAAGGTTCCAAAAACGATGTATGGAAAAGGAAATAAGAGTAAATCCTGCACTGGTGAATAACCTAATTTTGCACTACAGTGTAAATTTCACTCTGAGAATTTCCCCTTTGCTCTGTTTTGAAGTGTTCAAATTTTCTGGATAGTTTAAGTCAACCTCAAAATTTATACAGAAGCTTGAATATATACATACTTCAACTAATATTTTATTAAATGTCCCTTAGCAAGTTGTACCTCAACCAGACACCTTTGGTAGCTGTTTCCATTGGTACGGACATGACTTTTAATCCACAAATTGTCGATACTGTTGAGTGTTTTGGGAAGGCCATTCTGGCAGCTTAATGTTGGCCTGCTTTGTGTGTTTGAGATCATGTCATGTTGGAACAACCAATTATGTCCATGTTTCAACCGTCTAGCTGTTAATTTGTGATGTTGAGACTCCGATACATTTGGGTCCATTTGGAGGCAGTCCTCTCTCATTATTCGGTCCACTTTGTGCAAAGTACCAGTACCACTGGCAGTAAAACAAACCCAGAGGATGATGCTACCATCACCATACTTCACCACTGGTACAATGTTCTTAAGTTGAAAGTCTCTCCTTTACTCCTCCAAACATACCTCTTGTCACTGAGGCCAACAGGCTCAGCCTTTGTCTTGTCTTACCATAAAACCTTTCTGCAGAAAGCCTCCATTTCTCATTCATGAGTGAGGCTCAAGTTGCTGATTTTGAAGCAGAGGCTTCTTTCTTGGTTGGCATCCACTCCCATGGCAATGTAAAAATCTCTCCTCTGTGGACAGTGACCCCGGTGTTCCAGCAGTTCCCAGTTCATAGCAAATGCGAACATTAGTGGTTCTTAACCAGTTTCCTCTCATTTGAGGGGGACAGTTTAGGTCTACTATCAGACCTTAACAAAGCAGTCGACCAACTTGTACTTTTGATAGTTCTTTGCGAGGTTATTATAGTTCCCTTAAACTAGATGTGGAAACACACTTAACAATTTTATTAACTGAAACAGAAATAAAAACTTGCAAAAAAAGATTAAAGTAACATGATTTTGTGAATTTGGAAAACTAGCTAAAATATAAATAAAAAAACAGGAAAATACTTAGTTTTGGTACGTTACTGGTAAAACTTGACTATTGAGGTACTGGATGGAGGTCTGTGGGGTTTTTTGTGATACTCATTTTCCTAAATCTTGCCTCTGATATATACCCTTTATACAATAATAACAAAAAAGACTACAAAAACTAATAAAAACTCAATTAAATTAAAAGCGAAAAGTTAAAATAAAAATAAAACCTAATTTATAAAATACATAACTATAATACCTGAGTTCCTGAGACCTTCCCATTGGGAGTACTGGCCAATACAGTAAACATTACCTTTGTACACCGGCAAAGAGAAACTCCCAGTTGTGCTCAATTATGATCCCCAACAAGAAGTCGAAAGACATTGTAGAACCTTGAGCAATACTTATTAAAAGATTTAAATGAATGCATGCATCTATTTGAGCCTGTATGTATAATTTTGATCCTGTGTGGATCAGAGAAAATC